TCTGTCTGTCTGTCTGTCTGTCTGTCTGTCTGTCTGTCTGTCTGTCTGTCTGTCTGTCTGTCTGTCTGTCTGTCTGTCTGTCTGTCTGTCTGTCTGTCTGTCTGTCTGTCTGTCTGTCTGTCTGTCTGTCTGTCTGTCTGTCTGTCTGTCTGTCTGTCTGTCTGTCTGTCTGTCTGTCTGTCTGTCTGTCTGTCTGTCTGTCTGTCTGTCTGTCTGTCTGTCTGTCTGTCTGTCTGTCTGTCTGTCTGTCTGTCACCTCTCCCCGCTGTTTTCAGCATCTGTGAGGGGGAGCCTTGGAACTGATCCTCCACAGATATTGCGGTCCTATTGTACAAGCCATTTTGGATTTTCACCTCCCTGTGAGATGCTTTGACTGTCATTGAGCCCAGTCTCATGTGCGTAATTTTGGCCCCTCCCTGCCCAGCGATTATTTTATTTCCATCCCACCTTTCCCTCCCAAAAAGAGGAAATGGGACGCATTTCAATTTGTGCAGCCCAAACATATGGACAAGATCCGTTACAGAGCACATTCAACTGGATCAAGATACGTACAATCGGAAGCTTAAAGCGAGCAATCAAAAGAAGACCGTGGTCAGCGGAAAGCCAGATCAGAGATTTAACTGGTGCTGGATGGGGTTATGTTCCTTCAAAAACTCAGGTTTCTATCTGGATGCAGCCCTGAGGCCGAACACCCTGATTTCACTGGCAACTAGCAGGGTGTCTCCAGAGTCCAAGCTGGCGTGCCATGGGTTCTTCAATTTAATTCCTCTGCAACAATTACTACCAGTCTGTTTCCAGATCCAATTAATAATACTGGATATGGCCTATATACCTCTTTATGACCTGGGTCCAGACTACCTTAAAAGGACAGGATCTCCCCATATGGATTTCCTTGGCTTTCAAGATCTTTGGGAGAGGGCCATCTCCGGGTCTTGCTGGAGGACAAGTAGCTCCAGAGCTCATGAAGTGTTTGGGCCAAAGCTGAAAGGACGCTCAGCTGCAGACGTGCCTGGAAGTGAAGTGAAAGTCCAATGCTGCAAAGAAAAATACTGCATAGGAACCTGGAATGTAAGATCTATGAACCTTGGTAAGCTGGATGTGGTCAAACAGGAGATGGCAAGAATAAACATTGACATCCTGGGCATCAGTGAACTAAAATGGACAGGAATTGGTGAATTCAATTCATATGACTATCATATTTACTATTGAAATGGAGTAGCCCTCATAGTTAAGAAAAGAGTAGGAAAAGCTGTACTGGGATACAATCTCAAAAATCTTAAATAAACAGTGCAAAGATATAGAGGAAAATAATACAAAGGGAAAAACCAGAGAT